AAGAAGGTAAGACGAGGATGACGCAGGATTGGATTTAGTTCCGAGCTTTCTGGTGGCTAAAGCAAAGACGGAAATGTGAAGGCTGGCATGCGCTCCAGAATCTCAATAAAGAAAATAAAATTGTAACCTGTGTATTAGTCTCCAAGGGATATCAGTGTGTCTCCAGTATCATGTTCATTTGGTGACTCCTACCAGGGCCTTTGAGTGAGGTGACAGAGAGGATCCAGCTCTCCTGCCTGTGGCCAGCTTGGGCCTTTTTTTTTTTTGAGACAGAGTTTTGCTCTTGTTACCCAGGCTGGAGTGCAATGGTGCGATCTCAGCTCACCGCAACCTCCGCCTCCCAGGTTCAGGCAATTCTCCTGCCTCAGCCTCCCGAGTAGCTGGGATTACAGGCACACGCCACCATGCCCAGTTAATTATTTGTATTTTTGGTAGAGACGGGGTTTCACCATGTTGACCAGGATGGTCTCGATCTCTTGATCTCGTGATCCACCTGCCTCGGCCTCCCAAAGTGCTGGGATTACAGGCTTGAGCCACCGCGCCTGGCCAGCTTGGGCTTTAGAGTAAGACACCGGCTGCACCAGACCCCAGACAAGGGGCCGGGTCCAGCTCTCCATGTGGAGCGCTTGCTCTCGCAGCTGCCCCGCCCTGAGGTGGAGAATCCACAAGGCTAGTACCTGTCATTTCCTACTCAGTCAGTGCCGAGACCCCTGAGGCTTGGCCTTTTCCTGGTTCCATCCTCTCCGGTGTCCTGCAGGTGTTCATGCCTCTGGGCCTGGGGAGGGCCAGGTCAGCCAGTGGGGTGCAGGGGAATTTGGAATTTGGACCGCAGGCTGGGTGGTCCACAAGCTTGTTACTACAATCATTGTTATTTCTGATTCACTGCATAATTCTGCCGTTTTTATTTATAACGCTATTTGAGAGTTTGTGAAAAAGCAGCACCACCCTGAAAACACACAGTCTTCCTGTAGGCTAGGTAAGCTACAGCAGATTAACATTTTCCCCCAACCTTTTTTTTTTTTTTTGAGACAGTCTTGCTCTTGTCGCCCAGGCTGGAGTGCAGTGGGGCAATCTCGGTTCACTGTAACCTCCGCCTCCCAGGTTCAAGTGATTCTTCTGCCTCAGCCTCCTGAATAGCTGGGACTACAGGCACCTGCCACCAAGCCTGGCTAATTTTTGTAATTTTGTAGAGATGGGGTTTCAGCATGTTGGCCAGGCTGGTCTCGAACTCCTAACCTCAGATGATCCACCCATCTCGGCCTCCCAGAGTGCTGGGAATGCAGGTGTGAGCCACCTCAACTGGTCCATTTTTCTCTTCTAAAAGGGCTTCTTACCTGCACTTGTCCAGGTCCTGTGGGTTTAGAGCTTGGCATTTAAAGACCAGATTGGGCTGGTTGCAATGGCTCATGTCTGTAATCCTAGTGCTTTGGAGGGACAAGGCGGAAGGATTGCTTGAGGCCAGGAATTTGAGGCTTCCAAGAGCTATGATCACACCAGGGCACTTCAGCCTGGACAACAGAGCAGGAGGGCGGGGAGAGAGAGAGGGAGGGAGGGGGGAAGGGAGATAGGGAGGAGGGGGGAAGGAAGGAAGGGAGGGAGAGAGGGAGGGAGGGAGGAGGGGGGAAGGAAGGAAGGAAAGAAGGAAGGAAGGGAGGGAGGGAGGAGAAAGGAGGAAGAAAGAAAAGAAAGAAAAAGAAAGCTCAGAAAATGATATTAACTTTATATTCTTGCTGCCGTAGGCCAGGCCCGAACCTGCAGTCAGGGCCTTTTATGCTTTTATGGCCTGGCCTGGCCTTAACCTACCTTTCTTTTTCTTTGAGAGAGTTTCACTCTGTCACCCAGGCTTCCCCCTCCCAGGTTCAAGTGATTCTCTTGCCTCAGTCTCCTGAGTAGCTGGGACTATAGGCACATGCCACCATGCCTGGCTAATGTTTTTGTACTTTTAGCAGAGACAGGGTTTTTTGATGTTGGCCAGGCTGGCCTTGAACTCCAGCCCTCAGGAGATTCGTCTGCTTTGACCTCCCAAAGTTCTGGGATTACAGGCGTGAGCCACAGTGCCCAGCTTTTAACCTACCTTTCTACCTGTCTCCCTTTCTCTGTCCCGCCTGTCCTACCACTGTCACTACCTGGTCTCAGGCTCATTGTGCCACCAACAACTCTTGCTCTTTGTGCCAGCTTCTCCTGCTTCTCTGAGCTTCTCCTGTTTCTCTAGGCTTCTCCCTTTCCTCTGAGCTTCTCCTGCTCCCCCTGGCTTCTCCTGTTCCTCTGGGCTTCTCTTGTTCCTCTGAGCTTCTCCTGCTTCTCTGGGCTGCTCCTGCTCCTCTCTGCCTCATACCATCTCAGCCCATCTCCCAAGGCCCCTTCCTTTCTGGCCTCTTCCAGATCATTCTCTCAGACTGTCATCTGCACTGTCCTCTCCCTTTTCAGAGTCATCAGCCACACCCAGGTCTCGGGCAGTGCTCAGTGTGACCTTGTCTGCCTCTCCAATTATATCATAACAATCTGTGGCCACACCCTGGGTGCCCTCCTAGGTACTCCCCATGTCCTTCCACGTGGCTCCTGAAGGGGTCCAGGTTCTCGTGTGGTCATGCCTGTGCTCCTGCCCACTCCTCAAGTGCTCCCAAGGGCAGGGCCTGGGGGAAAGTATGGCTCCTGCAGCTGCAGGAGAGTGAGTCCAGAGGTGACAGGAGAGGGAGGCGGCCATGGAGAGTGACACCACCAATGCGGTTTTCAGTCCAGTGAATGCAGTCACTTTGGATTTGGGAGAATTGGGGCCAGTGTTGCTTCCGCTGTCCACAGAGGCCTCACGAATTTGTCTGTGCTAGCAAGTGAGTGATTAGCAAAGACGCATTCCTGCAACAAATCATGTCAAAAGCACCATTATCAGAACCACACAACAGGGCAGCGGTTCTCCAGTAACAGCAGCCTCGGGAAAACTGGGAGAAATATAGGCTCTCCAGCCCCACCCCAGACTGACAAAATCAGAAGCTCTGAGGGTGGGGCCAGGAGCCTGTGTCTTAACCAGCTCCCCAGCGATCCTAATTCAGGCTAAACTTTGAGAGCCATGAATCCAGGCAGGACACTGGGCATGTGTAAGCCTCCGCCTTTCCTACCGAGTGAACCTACGGACCCATTCACCCCAACACGGGTGCCAAGCCTTCTCCTGTCCCCCTCAGGAGCCCTGTGGTCTCTGAGAGCTCAGGTGTACTAGGGTGGAGAGGGAACTGTTGTTGGTCTCTGAGAGCTCAGGTGTACTGTGATGGCGCCTGGGCCTCCAGCAGGTGCGGCCTCTGAAGCCCAGGTCCGAGGGAGCTCCCACCAGCTGCATGTCAGGTGAAGGGTGGGCAAGGTCTGGAGGCCCAAGCATTGGGAGGAACCTTCCCTGATAAGTGTAAATAGTGTGCTCTGATAGTTAGCAGGATAAAACCCCAAATGCACCTAACACCAAATCCAGTGGGCCAGCAATCCAGGCTGGGAGCTTTCGGAGTGGGGTGCTGTGTGAAGCTTCATTTAACCCCCCCACAATGTGGTTCCGTGGGAGCAGGTGCTTGTTTCAGAGCTGAAGACAGGCCCTCATGGGGCCATTTGTCCAAAGCCATCCTGGTTGTCAGGGGTGTGCCTGTGGATGGAGGGGCCCTGGCTGGAAGTTAAGCTTGTGTATTAGGGTTCTTGAGAGACAGAACCAATAGTATCTGTCTACATCTATCTAGATAGCCAGACGAGAAGGGATTTGTTGGGAGAATTGGCTCACACATCTGTGGAGGCTGGGAAGTCCCACCACAGGCTCTCTGCAAGCTGCAGGCCCTGGGATGCTGGTGGTGTGACTCAGTCCCAGTCTGAACGCATGAGAACCCAGGGGCCACGGGTGTCAGTCCTGAGTGCAAAGGCTGGAGAGCCTGGAGTTCTGATGTCCAAGGACAAGAGAAGAGCATCCCTCCAAGAGGGAAAGACACCAACTTGCCCATCTGGGCACCCAGTTGTCTGGATGGTCCCACTCACATTGAGAGCGCATCTTCCCCACTTATTCCCCTGACTCCCATGCCAGCCTCCTCTGGAGATACCCCCACAGACACACCCCAAAATAATGCCTCACCAGGTTTCTGGTTTCTGGGTACTGCTTTATCCAGTCAAGCAGATGCCTAGAATGTACCATGGTGGCTGGGAGACTGGAGGAGGCCTGAGGGCTGGGGCCAAGTGGCAGAGGAGCTGGAATGAAGGGACACAGATCTCCCCTTCACCCACCAGTGGCCCTGGGGACCCCTTTCAGGGTGCACTGCCTGTTACACAGGTGCTGCACAATTTTCAAGTGTTTCAAGTGTTTATAATGGCAGGTTTGTCAGAAAGAAGTGTTAGCTGCAGAGACAATGTTTCTGGCATAGCACAGTGCTGAATAGACTGTTAATAACAGATAGGAAATAGATGAGGTTTGGGAGGTGATCGCTCCAGGTCCAGGAAGGATGCTTCTAGCTGAGCAAAGGGCATTGGCCAGAACTCATAGGCCTTCCCTGGGGCCCAGAGCATGGGGCTCTGGAGAGTGGGCTGCCTGCTGGGAAAAAATCAACAATTTATCTGAAGGGAAAAATGTGGCTGGCAGATTGTCGGCACAGCAGAAGAATAGGTGAAACATGGAATTGGACACACATTGCCAAGTCACTGGTCAACATCTTTGTTCTGAAAGAGGAAGGGAAAAAGGCTTGGGTCAACTGACCTGCCAGGAAGCTATTCATCTGCCTCATCCTCTCCTCTCCAGAGAGCTGGGGCTGGTCCTGGTATAGGACCAGGCTGAGGGATCCCTGCAGGATATGTGAAGAAAGTTCTGGAAGTGAGGGTGCAGGGCACCCAGGTAAATATGAGAAGTCATGAAAAACCCAAGGGCTGTGAGCCCCTGCCCTGCCCTTCTTCCTGCTAAGAGGCTGGGGAGATGCCATAGTTTGTAGCAAGTGGACCATGAACACTCCTTTTCTGATGAATGAAATAAAATTCACATCTTGCTTTTCCAGGTGTTCTGTGCAGCAGGAGGAGGAACTGTCAGGCAAGAAGACAGAGAAAATCTAGGTGAGTCTGAAGACCGAGGCCCAGAGGGAGGTGTGATAACCTTTTCTGGCAACAAAGGATTAAATAAGGAGAAAGGGTGGGCGGAGCTTCAGCTCGGGGAAGCCAGTGCCCTAGCAATGCTGCTCCCTGATTGGAGGGAACTTGGACTTAGCAGCATGCACAGGAAGCTACCAAATGGCTTTAGAAAGGATTCCTGAGAAGCCGGCACAGTGGTAATCCCACACTTTGGGAGGCTGAGACGGGTGGACCACCTGAGGTCAGGAGTTCGAAACCAGCCTGACCAATATGGTGAAACTCCATCTCTACTAAAAATACAAAAATTAGCCGGGCATGGTGGCATATACGTGTAGCCCCAGCTACTCCAGAGGCTGAGACAGGAGAATTGTTTGAACCTGGGAGGCAGAGGTTGCAGTGAGCCGAGATCACACCACTGAGCTCCAGCATGGGCAACAGAGCAAGACTCCATCTAAAAAACAAAACAAAAAAACAAAGGAAGGTTTCCTAGGGCAGCACTCAGAGCTGCATGCTTCCTGAGTACTGTGACTTAGCTCCTTGTCCTTACTGGGGATGCCACTGTCTTTGAGAAGGCTTCTGCCTCCCTTTGGCCTGCCTGTCACTGGCCAACGCGGATATCACCACTGAACAGCATGGCACGGGGTTCCCAGCCTCAGGCCTTGAGGTGGCATAGCTCTTTGGCCACAGGGCAGTGACTATGAGCAATGATTTAGAAGTTTGGAACCACAGAGACTAAAGTCAATGCATCCAGTCAGAATGGCCCAGGGCCCATAAGATTCTCAGCCTGTCATTTATTTGAGAGAGCTGTTTTTAATTTTTGTACTTAAAGCCCAGGCACGGAGTAGGGCATCACACATTGATACTGGAAGGGATATTAACCTGGCAGCTCAGACTTTTCTAATAACTCCCGCTGCCTCCTGGCAGACACAGCCCAGGAAAACCAGCTGCCCTGGGGGTTTTCAGGCAAGGTAATTAATGTGTGATGGTACTCCACTCAATGATTTAGCGACCAGTGAAAAAGTAAGATATAACACTGAAGCTTATATCAGAGGCACAAGTTGGGTAGATTAGGTGGAATTATTGGACTTTCTAGGGCATGTTGATTTCACTGGGAGGCGGATGGTGGGCTGGTGTCTGTCTAATTTCTTCAGTGAATGTGCCCAGGTGACCCTGGCCCGAGATATTTCTGTGTGCCCTGCCTAATCCTAGGCACTCTCTGTAAAACTTTGACTTAGGTTCTCTGGCTACAAAACAAAACTCTCCACCCCGGGGGACGAGGAAAGAGCCTGACTTCTAGGTGGTGTTGCTGATACTACAAATAGGAAGACAGTGAGGTTTCCGAATGAAGGGAGAGGTGCAGGGAGGTTTTTTTAGGTCCTTTGCTTTAGGGAGAATGCCACCCCCCACTCCTGGCCCCCATCATGCCTCCAGTGCCTGAGCGGGACACTGGCTGGTCCTGTGCAGCAAGACCGCCACCTTCTCCTTGGTTGGATGCAGGGCCATTGAGCATTATCTGTCTATACGGATCGTCCTGCAGAACTGTGTGTCTCCTTCTTCTGCTCAGTAGGTCAGAGCTGGTGAGTGCAATGGGATCTTACCAGATGCCTTTCATCTTTAAACTATCAGCTCAAGGGGCTGGGAGTTAGAAACCCCTGACCTTGCAGCCTATGGCTGTAAAAGCCCAGGACATCCCCCCAACCCCACCCCCTGCCAAAACTGCTTTTTCATTTTCATTTTGATGTGATTTTCATTTTCTTGAATTTAGGTGGCGAAGGCAAATGTGGTCAGCATAGACGAGAAGGCAAATGCCAGTCTCCCAGGACCTGCTTGGGTCCTCTTCCCAGGGAGGAGCTCCTCCCTCCCCTCTTCCCACCTTCCTTTCTGTTCTTCCTTCTTGAGTCTGCTACGGGCTATGATGGGCTTAGGCCTGAACCCAAAGAAACAGCCCTGGGTGAATGCCCTCTTCCCATCAAGGCTGTGGATGTTTCTCTAGGGCCTCACCTGACCCTGCATTTTCTAACCCTGCCCTTCACGCCCTTCAGTAACATTTAGAATATTGAGAAGTGAAAGCTAACCATGCTCACTGAATATGGATTCCACCCCAACTCAGAACCCTTACATTTTCACAGTTCCCAGGGAGGATCTCTGTATGTGGGAGACACTTGGAACGACAGGAGAACCTGGCTGCGGCTGGTCTGCTGCAGAGCCACACCCTAGCAGGCAGAAGTGCGGTTTTATATCCTACTCCATATAAACCTGAACCCAGCCCTCCTGCACACATTCTCCACTGCGGAGCCAAGCCTCCCTGTCACTCACTGTATCTCATGCCACGTCCAAGCATCTCTGTGACACAGGGAGTTGACAGACTTGGCCAGGTGTTGATTCCACACCAGTTGTCGAGTCTTTGAAAAGAGAACCAGAGCTGGCCCATGAGCAAGCTGAGCACAGAGGTTTCCTCAGTCCTTATCTTCTGACAAGAGGTCTTGAGTTTTCATGAGATTTACTCACTAGAGTTGTCTTAGCTGTGTAACCTCTTTCCTGACGTTACACAGGAAGGATCAGAGTAGCTGTGGCCGCCGTGGCCTGATGGGAGATGGAAAGACAGGGAGACGGAGGCTGCAGGGACACCCACCCCCTGGTAACACTCCCCAAAGGCTCCCGATGGAGAGGTCTGCCACGTAGACTCTGCTCCAGAGTAGGAAACATGGTGGGGGAGTCAGCCCCTACAACAGCGTCAGTGGGAGGACAGCCAGCAGCAATAAAATCAACACATTGCTATCACCCAGCTTGGCAGAGCAAAGGGGCAAAGTGCAGTTTGGCACAACTCTGTACAGACTGCCAAATTCAAGCTTTCTTTTAGAAATTCAGTTTTGCCAACCTGTCCTCTAAAGGCAGGGCATGCGCGAGGGCTGGTAATGCAGACATCGTCTGGAGGTGTCCTGAGGAGGGTCACCTATTAGGCTGCAAACCTGGAAGGCCACGCTAAGCCTGGGGTGTCAGAGGCAGCATGAAGGTACATTTTTTGAGTGTTTTCAGATGAGCAGGTAATTGGTGTTTTGAACGTGCCAAGCTTTCTCAGTTTGCCTGACTTAGCTTCTTAGGAATCCATTAAGAATGACCTTTACCCTTACGTCTTTAAGTACATTTAATACACTCACCTGCCTATTTTTTACTATTGTTCTTGTTTTTTGTTGTTGTTTTTAAGTAAGTGATCGTGCCTCATCAAACAGTAATGAAGGACGAAGGCCTCGAGCCGGCTTATGTAAGAAATATAAATCAAGGTCCTAAATCACTAATAATTGGGTAGGAAAGTTGAACTATATGTGCTTCCAGGTAACTGTGATTCTAATTTTCTCCAGAACTGAGTTATCTGCCATCAGACAAAATTTGCTAATAGCCTCACTCATTATTACAGATTCCTGCCTCTGCTTGCGAGGGACGCTTGCTTTCCTCTTCTATGCTCACAGAATCGCAGCCTTGGGCGATTAATCCTGATAACACCAAGAGAGACCCGAATACTTGCTGTATCATTTAATGACTCTTGGCAGAAAGGAAAAACACTTCACTTGAACACGGTATTTTAAAAATAGGTATTTTACTAACTTTCATGGGAAATTTAACTATTTGATGAAATGCCTTTGTATATTACTTGGCTGATTTTCATTTGTACTTAACAATTTGTCTTAAAGATGATACATGAAAATGAGATGAAAATATACAATGTTCCCCATAAACCAAACCTAGGAGAGATGAAGTGTTGCCCCAGTGAAACTGCTGAATTCAATGAATTTTAATTACTTTTTGTCCCCACAGGCTCCCCCGCCCCCACCTTAATTTCTTCTATTTTCCTGTTAGGTTGCAATCATTAATTTCAAGTTTGGTCCCATACTATCCATGAAATGAAACAAAATGTGTGACAGCCGAGATGATTCAGTGCCACCTTTGACTAAGCAGGCAAGCGTCCTTTTCAATGCCAGCCTATGCCCGTGCCCTGGTGGGAAGGTGGTGGGGATGGCCCATGGCCCTCTCAGGAGCCGCCCGCTTCCACGCCCTTAGACCACAGTCCTCCTAGTGATGGGCTGCCCGCCGTCTCAGGAGGCAGCTCCTGTCCCCTACTTTCAACTCTCAGGTTGTCCGGAAACCACACTCTTGACTCTGAACATATCAGCAGCCCATGGATTCCTTTTCACAGGGCAGCAGTAACTTACCAGGATACATGTTTTCCCTTGAATGAATCCCGAGGTCTCAGAAGCCACTCCTTCCTGCCTGCTTTCTCTAATAGCTCTTTTGAGTGCTGAGACTCTAAGTGTAAAGCTTAACACTCAGCCAGTGGAAGCAACAGCCTTACCGAAAGCCTCCTTAATGATGGCTTAGGCAGGAAATGGAAATGGCTTGCGTTATCCATCCTTTAAAGCATTTCTAGTGCTCAGCCTCCATGAAATGGATTGCTTATAGGGAGATAATGTCTGTTCTATTCCTTTTTAAGTCTGTGAAAAATGTCATCCTGGTTAATAGGGTGATTAAAACTCTTTATGCTCCAGGAGATAAATGTGATTATGTTTGTCAAACTCTACCCAAGATAAAGACAGCAAAGAAGGCAAACTTGAAATTCCATCACATTTCCTCTCTTCCATATCCAGGGACATTCAGAGCTCAATACACAGATGGTACGTCTCATAAAGAATAACATTATCTGTTAAACATTTTTCCTTTCCATTAACCAATTTAACAATATGCCTCTGGTACAAAAGGAATAGACAAATGACGAAATCTTCTGATACTCAAGTTCTGACTGTGGAGAACAGCACTTGAGTCATACTGCTTTTCTAATTTTCATCTGTGTGACTTCACTTTTGCTTTTAAAATGCAATTGGAGCTGAGGCTTGTTCCCTCTTCTACGGAATTAGTTCCTGCTAGCCTCCCCTCTGCACGGGATTCATCGTTATTTTTACGGGAGTCCCTCTGCCATGGGTCAAGGACAGCAGAGGTGATGTATGAGGGTTTTGTAGACACGAGACATGCCAGTCTAGTAAGTATGCAGACACTCCTTCAGCAACACATGTCTAGGTGTCCTCTGTGCCAGCCCTGTGGGAAAGCAGCGCCCCACCATGGCCCCTGGCTCCTTCCTAGGGCCTAGCTGCCTTCAGCCTGATGTGCAGCAGCCTCCCCAGCAGTGCTGACACCAGTTTACAAGGCCCTGAGATGGGTCCCTACCCTCAGGGAGGCTACAAGGCAGGAATCCATGAAACAGAACCACAGTTAACAATGATTTCTCCTTTAACACTCCAGACAGGTGGGAGAGTCTCCTTTTTCCTACCCCGTGGAGGTCTTTAGAAACCACTCAGCATTCTCCAGCTACAAAAAGTAAAACCCAGATTCCAGCTGTAACAGTTTTAGGTAGCGCCCATTCTTTTCTTCCCCCACGTCAGATGGGTAATTCAGTGCAGCCGTTGTAACAAGGCTGGAGGGCCATCTCATGCGTGAGCCTGGAAACCTACGGTTATGAAGCACCAAAGGATCAGGTGGTGCGCATTCTCTTCAGGGGAATCTAGATTCAGACTAATTGTGTGGACGAAAACCTGTTCCTCTGGCTCCTGCCTTTCCTTCCTCTCATTCAAAGGCTACAAATCCCTTCTCAGAGATTTAGTTAACATGAAAGGCCGGTGAAGTTTTTGCTTCCCGCATTCACCAACCAATTTCCCAATCCTTTCCTTTCAGTCTTGGATTTTTAACAGATTACATATGAATCCCAGATGCTGACGACACCTGCTTCATTAACAATACAGCAATTTTAACAGGGTAACATGGTCTAGAGAAAAGTGTTACATTAAGTATTTGACATTTCATTTAAAAATCTCCCTTAGATAAGAAGGTTTCATGATAACAGAAATTTCAAATGTCCTTTATTAAGCCTGATTGCTGATTAATTAGAGCCTAGGCAAGTAGAAAGAAACGGCACAACTGATACTTAACTAAAGGTTACTTCTCTGGACATACTGACATATTAAAGTATTTCTCTTTTTAAAAATATCTAAAAATGCAATTGCACTAAAAATAATTGCACGTAGACATTATTCTCCATCTGTTTTTTTGTAGGAGATCATGGAAGACAGGAGTGAGTTGGGTGTGCACATAGAATTCATCCTAACAGCTTCATTAGGGAGGTGGCACCAAATACTTAATATTGGGACCCAGTACTCAGGTGACTTTCCGGTTAAAAATGTTGAAGACAGCTGACAATTGGGCTTTGTTTCACTTTGACAACTGAAACAAAATTACAAACTGTCAGTGTTCAGAGATCCGGACCAACTTCTCAAAAAATACTTTTTTACCTCTGATATCATCATTATTTTAGCCCAACTGTGCCTTCTGGAGTGATCATAACTCATTGCTGGCTTTTTAAGTCTAAGAATTCACAGGGCCTTCAAGCAAGGGTATCACGTAAGTAACTCACATGTGTGTGCTGGCTGTAAATCACAGACCGCACTCAGGACAGGAGAGCAACACCCATCTCCTACTATTCAGGACTTACCAGGTGACTGTCACTTTGTAGTCTGGCTAACCGGAATAAGACTTCCAAATTCTGTTATATACTGACAAGAAAGGCTCTTGAAACTCCTTTAATTAGACACACTGCAGTACTATTGCTATTAGGGAGTCTGTTTCATAACTTTTTTTTATCATACTTTTATTATAAACTTTTTTTTAGGAATGAAACTCGGTTCAACTGAAACTTCGTTCAACTGTTACAAACAGAATTATTTCCTCTGGGATCCCCTCCACATAAGGAAGGTATCCCTGTAACTACTATTTGTAAATAGTCTTCTTAACTTTGAGAAAACTTTACCCTCCCCAACACGCACACACGTACTCTCCTGTGATGAGGAGGCCGAATGCTGTCCAGCGCATGGTTCAGTCAGCAATCTGTCATGTTCCTGGGGAGAAATCAGTCCCTGTCCCTTTGCTGTCATGGTGTCTCCAGAGCCACCCCTTTCTGTAACAAGCATTTTGAAATTCATTCATGCTCATCTCATTTGGATTTCAATGTTTCTTCCCACTCAACAGCCGATTCGGAGTTCTTAGGAATTGCTGGAAATATTGATTGCATTTTACTTCGAAATTCTTTCATCTAAAAGAAGAAAAACAATCAGTTATCAAATGCTAAAAGAAGGAGAAAACAGCTATTAGAGATGGCACTTTTGCTGACTGGCTAGTACTTCACTGCTCACAGATAAAAGAGCCAGGGAATATCAATAAAAGTTAGGGACTATATATATTCTAGGTACCTTGAAAGAAAATGAAATATACTTCCTTTCTTCAAATATAAAGTTATTATTAAATAACATAAAACTTCACTCTTAGCTGGACATGGTGGCTCACATCTATAGTCCCAGCTGCTCAGGAGGCTGAAATGGGTAGATCACTTGAGCCCAGGAGTTTGAGTCCAATATGGGCAACACAGTAAGACTCCATCTCTTTAAAAACAAACAAACCACTCTTAATCTACAAGGCAACATGTCCTAAACTGTCAACGCTTCATAATTATTATTCCCTCCCAGGAGAAGAATGTGTATTGTTGGCTTTCATATATAAAGATGCAGTCGAGGATGGGATTTCTATCTGAACAAATAAATATAATTAGGTCAATCAAAGCTAGAATTTTAGAGACAGAAAGGGCAGAGAGAAGAAACTTAGTAGTTTAGTAAAGAATAAATCAAGGAATGGTAGCTAAAGCAGAATGTTCTCAGATGTCAGATAGTGGTGTTTTTTCTTTGAGGCAGGGTCTCACTGTGTTGCCCAGGATGGAGTGCGGTGGCACAATGGCTCACTGCAGCGTCAACCTCCTGGGCTCAAGCGGTTGTCCCACCTGACTGCCCCCAAGTAGCTGGGACTCCAGGTATTTGCTAATGTTTGCATTTTAGGTAGAGATGGAGTCTCGCTATGTTGCCCAGGCTGGTCTCAAACTCCTGAATTCCTGCAGTCCCCCCACCCCGGCCTCCCAAAGTGCTGAGATCACAGGCGTGCACCACTGTGCCCAGCCTAAGAGATCTCAACATGCAGCGTCCACACAGTATTATTCCAGTTCACCTGGAGCACCTGCATCCACCTAAGTGCATAACCCCATCAGGTGGGACACTGATTTACGGAAGTCAAGTCAACTTTACACTGGCCAGTACTAGTAACACTCTCTGATTCATCCTGGCTGATCTACAGACGGTCCTTCTATGAAGATATTTCAGCACCACCACAGCACTGCATTCCAAATTTTTCTCATCAGCCATCTGCCAGTCATATTTTCCTAAGCATAGAGATTTCCTTGATCAGGTTTGTGAAGTACCCTGGACTCATCTGCAAAATGCAAGTCATTTCTTAGAGTGGTTATTTTGAGAATCAGCTAATATTTCTTTAACGTTGATGCTTATTTATTTCAATTTGAGGCTGAATCTTTACCTGGTTTCCAAATTAAGGGGTGCATCTTGTTTGGGACTTGTAAATCCTAGACATTTACTCCTAGCACTGCTGCCAGCAGCATGGACTCTGCTCAAATCCTAGCTCCACCACCTGCGAAAGCTGCTTACTCTCGAAAGCCATGGTTTCCACATATGTAGAATAGAGACAGTAATTACCTGCTTAAAGAGTTGTGAGGATTAAGGCGCATTTAAAGCATATAAAGCACAGCATCTAACACATGGAAAGTGCTCAATACACATTAGCTATTATCACTGCTGTGTTATCAAAATAAGTGTGCTGTATTCTAAGAACAAAGCTCACATGGATATAAACATTAGGGAATGTCTGTTAAGTACATTACTTTATAGCCACATATCATTTTGGTTTACGTATTCTGTCACTGGAAGATATGTAAGCTCTTTCTTACATATTACATGTTGTCTGTATCCGTGCCAACCATCTCAGTGTTCTGGACCCAGACACTAATGTTGAAGATACACAGCTCATGGATGTCTCTCTCCCCACTCCCTCTTCCATAAAGAACTCATTGCTTTGTCCAAAACATTAATATCGCCCCCACTGAGGAACTTTGCATAGACTTTTATAGTTGAAACAGACATCTCTCTGGCCAGGGTTGGCAATGTGCTGCCTGGTTCTTTTACAGCTAAGCCAGATGACACAGTTTTCAAACAGGATGTCAGATGGCCAAGACATCAACAGAATCATTCACCAGTCTCCCTTCCAGTGGTCCCAAATGTGGTCAGCTGCTGAGAAGGGAGAGGCTGGGAAATGCGGGCGAGGCATTTCCCAGGCGAGTGAAGAGTGGTGAGGCCTAGGGAGGGGAGCAGAGGGTGGTGAGGTCAGAGGAGGAGAGAAAAGGGTGGTGAGGACAGGGGAGGGGACCGGAGGATGCCACTGCACTCAGTCTGGACAACAGAGTGAGATTCCATCTCAAAGCAAAACAAAACAAAACAAAGACACAAACAGTGCTCCCTAGTGCTATGGGCCACCATTCTCACCTGTGAGTCCCAGTGCCTTGGTGTCCACAGTGCTGTGTTGTATATTCACAGAAAATACCACTGTCTCAGCTAGTGGTGCTCAAATGGAGTGTCATGACAAATGGAAAGTGTATTATAAGCAATTTGTCACAAATATGGACATTCTGTAGATACAATGGCTTTTTTAGATATTAAAACAGATTCAGGATTATGCCTCTAATAATATTATTCTTGTTCACATTTCAATAGCTTCTTGAAGGGCCATATAGCCAGTAGGCCGGGAGTGAGACCAACCACTGATGCTGCTCAGAGGGTCCTTACTATATACCAGACATGCTTCTCATCCAACCCTCCCAACAACTGAGCGGAGTAAACATCATCCCTCTTTTAAAGATATGGTGATGGAAGCTCAGAGAAGCTAAACAATGGGCTGTGCCATGGCTGGTAAGAGCAGATCCGACCACTCTGAGTACTTACTCTGAGTACCACTTGAATATGCACACGGGACATTGCTACACATTTACCATGCATGTCTTGGTAGGGGAAAAAACATTTGAAAACATTTGGTCTAATATACAGTGTGCTGAAAATTACTTAAAAGCTTCAGGTTATGTACCCAATTTAATTAATTTCAGAAAATCCTTAACCATCAATTGGAATAAATAGGCAGTTGTTGGAATTCCAAGTTCTCAGTTTTAAAATGTTTTTGCCATTTTCTGGCTCATTTGGCTTCTCTTTCTTCACTTGGTGCAGGACTGTTACTGCCCTCAACGCTGGGGGCGACAGGGATGGAAGCTCTATAGGATCTACTGACGAAAAACCCTTTGGATAATGTCAATAATTACAGAGTCAATGGTCATCTTCAACAATCTGGGACTTCTGCTTCTTCATAAAATACAACAGAATAAGACTATATAATACTAGTACTAGGAGATTAAAAAGCATAGCTAGGTTGTAAAATGTTGCTTGAACAGGAATAATATATGCCATTTGGGATCACTTATGTGTCAGGCACTGGACAAAGCATTAGGCTCTGATTCAATCTTCACAACTCTATATGGCAGAAATTATTACCACCACTTTACATATAAAAAACCAGAAGTCAGAGAGGTTAACTTACCCATAAAGACATGGCTTATGAGTACAACTGGGCATGAGACATGCCCAGGACCTAGAAAGACAAAGTACCTCTGTATCTTCTACCCATTTGCCAGCTTTCACTAAAAATTACATAAAAAGCATAGATGTCTCTTTTAATGGTGACCATTTTATTTTGAATAGTATATGTTCACACATAGCCAGTACTCACCTACTTTTGCATATAGGGGAGTTGTACCTCCCCACCTCCTTGAAGTTCGGTAACCATGTGACTAGTTTTGGCTAATGAAATATGAGCAAAGAATGTGTGTCGCTCCCAGGCTGAGCACTTATTCACAGGGGTTCGACGCTCTTTCCATAGCAGTCATGGAAATCTGTATTGCTCTGGTGGTGCCGAGCTAGCATGTGAGGACAGCTTTTTCCTTGAGAGTTGCTGAAACCCAGGGGGGGTTTACACAGCTGAGAAATAAACCTTTGTTATTTTAAGCCACAGATTTGGAGACTAGTTTTGACTACAGCATAACCCATCCTCCTCTGGCTGGCAAAGATGGTGAAGAGAATTATAAAATAGCCTTAAGGCATGCTCTGATGCCCTGTAATAGTACACTATGTTTGGCTGAAACACGAATAAAAACTAAAAGGCTGGATAAGAGGGAGAAGGTATTCTGCAGTTGAGCTCTCAAAAGCTCTTAAAACCGTCTAGAACTGAACCAACTCTCTTCCCACTTTCAAGGAGCTCAGCACATCAGTGAATCCCATTGCATGACACTGCTTCCTGAGACATCAACATTTCTAGATGTTTTCAATAAAGTAGTAAGGGAGCTCTGGTCAGGGTAGAAAAGGGGCAGTTTTTTGGAGGATCACTGTCCTGCTGGATAAATTGAACTAAGCAGGACTAAGCAGGTTTGGAGGGCAAATACTGACAGCTTTCACTTTTGACTAGTTTTGTTGCTATCCAAACTGGATCCTGAGATAAAATGTGTCTGAATATACCGTATTATTTATTTAATACTCAACTGCATTAGGAAAGCTAATGCGAATTTTTACATCTCAGCTTTCCATTTTCTAAGCCACTAATACTATCATTTAGGTAAATACCAGACAGACATTTTTACTTTCTCCTCAACTTTCACTGTGTGACATACATAAAGGCCAGAATCTGTAGTGAAGTTGATTTAGAAATACAAAGCAAACATGTAACTTTCTGAAAAATACAATCCTGAAGTATGCATCAAAATGATCAATTTTTATCATAGTAACAATAAGGCACAATTCAAAAGCAAAAACTTTCTGGAAACATGAAATAAATTGAATAGGAGGAATAACCTAGGAGCCTCTTAGAACCAGGACCACTTTGAGGCTAAGATCCAGCCTAGTAAGAATGATTTCTAACATGCTTCTTGATTTAATGTGCTAACAGGTCAGGTTCTCAGGGGCAATTCTAAAATGACTTTCACTCAGTCAGGCTTTTATTTTTAGTAACTGCAAAATTTAGGGAAGTTTCCTCCCTGCCAAACAAACGACAGTAAATATACCACACCTCTGACTGTCAAGCCTCTTTTTTTTTTGAGATGGAGTCTCACTCTGTCACCCAGGCTGGAGTCCAGTGGCTCAATCTTGGCTCACTGCAACCTCTGCCTCCTGGATTCCAGCGATTCTTCTGCCTCCTGGATTCCAGTGATTCTTCTGCCTCAGCCTCCTGAGTAGCTGGGAATATAGGTGCGTGCTACCATGCCTGGCTAATTTTTGTATTTTTAGTAGAGACAGGGTTTCACCATCTTGGCCAGGCTGGTCTCAAACTCCTAACCTTGTGATCCACGTGCCTCGACCTCCCAAAGTGCTGGGTTTATAGGTGTGAGCCACCACACCCAGCCTGTCAAGCCTCTTTCTAAAAGCTTTCTCCATTACTGCATTAAACATTTTATAACAGCTACCATCAGATCATTATTTTCATATCTTAACCTAATGATTCTGCCTCACTGGTGTGCACACATACACACATGTGCACATGTACACACACGACCAACATGCAGCTACAGTCCCCACTTCATGTCTTTTTAATGACCCAGCTGAAAGGCCATCCCAGAGGAATGAAGGCCGTCTTAAGATGGATCCATTACAAAAAATACTTGTATGTTCATACTTTTATTTTTACACTGTAGAAGAAACTACCACTTTTTTACAGCATATACATGAACATAGGTATAAACCAGTAAGAATGAAAGAAATAGCATATATCTAATGAAAAGAATCAGAATTTCCAGAACACAATAATACCTACATCCTACTTTTTGGCAACCACATGCCAACTACATATATATAACAAGGTAAGTGCTGCTATATCAGAGGTACCAAAAACACTTCTTTAGGAATTGTAAATAAGTACTGTCCAGGACCTGGATGCTAAATAAAAGAGCTGGAGGACTAAATAAATAGGAAAGTCACACTACCGACTTTCCTGTTTCCATCTTTTAGGAATTCAAGTTTATTAAAAATTCTGATATATAATCCTGTATCTATGATCTCTTCAACACTTTCAGAATGGTAGTTTTAGACAACTTTAAAGCTTAAGCTCCTGCTGAATTTCGCAAAGTGTTTTTGCACTCATTTTCAGATGGGCCTCCTCTTCAGGGGTCAGCTTTGTCTTTATTTGGTTGGTAATACCATTTCTCCCAGGATACAAGGAATACTGAGGAATACTTCATCTATTCCATAGAGGCCCTTAATTGTGGTGGAAACTGATGTGTTCTCCTAAGATTCTTCAAAATACTTTGTTAAATCAGCTACAGATAGGCCAATGGCCCAAGAAGTATAGCGTTTCATTTTGATAATCTCATAGGCACTAGCAGTCACTTCTTTGTAGACATTTTTCCATTGCTCAGGATCTTTGTCAGTTCCTATATCAGAGTTCAGATCCTTCAAAGGGACACCGGCTATGTTTACTCCACTCCACACAGGAACACTTGAGTCTCCATGCTCTCCGAGGATCCATCCACAGCAGCTTTCAGAATGGATACCAAGCTTTTGTCCAATCAACAAACGAAAATGAGCAGTATCTGGATTACAGCTGCTTCCAACAACACAGTTTCTGGGAAATGCACTCAACTTCCAGGCTACATAGGTTAAGATATCCACTGGATTGGAAACAATAATCAGTTTGCAGAGGGGGATGTACTGGACAATACTGGAAATCATTAACCTGAAGATGGCCACATTTTGCTGGACTAAATTAAGGCACGTCTCTCCCTTTTCTTGGCATGCACTTGCTGTGATAATCACTAGATTGAAGTTTGCTGTGACAAGGTAATCTTGGCTACAAACAATATTCAGCATTTTCATGAAAGGGCTGCCATGTTGAAGATCCACTGTCTTGCCCTTCAGTTTGCCTTCATCAAGATCCACAAGGGCAAGTTTGTCACTCAAGCCTTTTAATAATATGCTGACAGTGCAGGCCATGCCCACCGATCCAGTTCCTATGATGGAGACATTACTATGATGAACCGGCTCCTCGGAACTGAAGCGCTCAATAAGCTCACTCTTCACAGTCGCCATCTTGCTCACGGGTATGAAGAGCCAGATGTGCTTGAGCGGCATCAGCGCTGCCTGACAGGGACACAGGACCATCCCAAGGCACAAGAAATTCGCTCCTGCTGAGCTCACTCTCTGGATGGCCTGCACAACAGGCACAGTCAAACTCATAGCTGCTCACTCAAGAAGTGGAAGGAGAGAATGGAAAAAAAACCGTTGACCAGAACGTTGAGACTCCAAGAGCAGTTGGCAGCACCTTCAACCCTCTAAGGCGGGTATGCACGACCCAGTGCCTCCAACACATGCTTTCCATGGGTGCTCAGACTAGGGCGGTGAAGGGCTGTTTCTCTAGCAAGTGATTTCTGGAGTTAGTTTTACTAAGAATGTTCTCATCAATAGTTGACATGCTTAAGAGGCTAACCCAGATCCCTGGAATTACTAGTTTTCTATTTTTAGTATGAATGCCAAGGAAATCAGGTTACATCTTCTGAACCGTGACCCTGCCGGGAATGATAGGGCCCTGTGCTTTGCAAACTGGTGGCTGCCTGCACCATCTCCCAGTGTCCCAGAAGTGGGCTCCTGCTTTCTGGTGTATTGCGCTGGAGGCCTATTTATAAAAGATCCCACTGCCTTAGTGCCACTTCTGGCCAGGACCCACACTGGGACAGTAAGCTGGAGCTTGAGTGGGGTAGGAGCCGCTGGGAGTCACTCCAGCACTAAAAACTCAACAGGCAAGAATGCTACTTCTTTTCTCATGATGGAGGAAAGCCTTTGATTGTACGTCCCGAAGAAAAACGACTTCTCAGGTGAAAGTTGGTGATGTAGCCCTCAATTAAAATGAGGATATCTCTCAAGTGTCCTTAAAAGGGCAAATTTTAACCAATGTACAAATCAGATATCTGACCAAAGCAGTGAAATACATTATCTAGTGCAACGTGGCATCAGTATGCCTTACTTCTGCATTTCTTTGGGCAATCTTAAGAACTAAATTCCCCTAACATTTCTGAGGAGGTGTCAACTTCACATCTGATGAAATGCATACCCTAATAAGCCAAGTAAATTACAAAAGCTCTAATAAAAACGACAGCATTCTGACCATGCAACGGTTCCTCAAAACCTCCCCCTCTTACTCAACAGCAGTGTGCTCTGGAATGGGCTCCTTGGAACATGCAGCCCCTCATGATCAGCAAACGATCTCTGTTTCAGAGTATTAAATACTGACAAAATGAATACTTTATATTTGGAATTGAAAATCTTTTTTTTTTTTTAGACAGAGTCTTGCTCTGCTGCCCAGGCTGGAGTGCAATGGTGTGGTCTCAGCTCACGGCAATCTCCACCTCCCAGGTTCAAGCGATTCTCCTGCTTCAGCCTCCTGAGTAGCTGGGAACATAGGCACACACACCACCACACCTGGCTAATTTTTGTATTTTTAGTAGAGACACGGGGTTTCACCACATTGGTCAGGCTGGTCTCTAACTCTTGATCTCAGGTGACCTGACCATCTAGGCCTCCCAAAGTGCTGGGATTACAGGTATGAGCCACCACGCCTCAAAAAAAGAAGAAAAAAGGCAGCCCAGGAGGAGAGGAACAGTAACCAAAGGCGTTGGTGAGGGTGGGAAAGGTGTGCCATCAGTTGAATTCCTGGCATCCTGTTTCAGGGCAACCTGCTGGCCACGTTTTCCTTATCAGTATGGATCAGACACCCTGTTCAGATGACAGAGCCACAAACTCCATGACACACCAAATCGTAAGAGCACTAGGTACATGAATTCTCTTAGCACTGGTAGTCAGATTTATGGTTAACATTTGTCAAATTAAAAACTGCAGTTTTAAAAGGGTCGTCTTTATTTAATGGTGGCTAATGTTTTAGAGAAATCCTTTAAAAGCAACAACTTTTGATAGCTTTCATTTCTTTTATCTGTCATAACCTGAAATGTTTTAACCTGGTGCCTGTTCCCACCATCCACCTATAATGATTCCTTTCACCAGTCAAGTCATTTTCCAAGCTAAGTGTTCTTGAAAATGAAATTCAAGGACATAAAGACTCTTTGCTGGATGGCTACTTTCTATAGTCATTTTCTTTCTACAGTTTGAACCTCTTCAGAAATACAATCTCCATAATAGCTGCCTCTTCAGTTTTTCCCCTTAGCCACAACTAAGTCAATCTTAAGGTGGGGGAAAAACTGTTCAAAATAAAAAAAACACACCAAACAAAGCAGCTTTTTTATTTACAGTAAGTCTTGAGATAAAAAAGGAAAGCACTAACAAAGACAAACAGATGTATGTGACCTCCAGAGAAGATTTAGGTCTACTGAAAGATGTGGCAAGCCAAATATAGCTAGCCAGCTCCCTAGTGACTTCCTATCTTAGGTGGCTCATTATTCCTTCTGAATTGAAAACCTGACTCAAATAATCTATTCAAAACGCAGTACAGTATTATAGCTAATGGACGATTACACCTCAGTACTTTCGGTTATACCGCTTAAGAGGGAGGAAACAGGAAATGAAAACAACCAACAAGCCCCTGGGCCAAGAATGGCTGCAACTAACCCATTATTCCTTTCACCTGGATTCACACCCAGCTCTCAAATCCTCCTTTTCCTATCTGGGAGTCTAGTTCTGATACTCCATTCTCTTGCCAATCTTTGCCAATCCCCTAAGCAGAACTGACTTTCTAAAAGCCTATGTCACCACTGTACTTTGTACCTCTCCTTTATAGGATTTATCACACACAATTAAATGTAAAATACTTATGAATGTGTCACTGCAAGAAGGGTCACCTTTGGTTTATCAGCATATCCCTGTCCTCCAGAACAGAGCTGGGCACATGAATAGGGATTTGGTAAATGTAGTAGAAGAGAATGAATAACTGTAGAGCTGAGCAAGCCTGGAGAGTGGCCTAAAAGGTGAGACAGACTGCACCTAGAAAGAGTTCCAAAAATCCAGGTAAGTAAAATGGGTAGGTGGCACCCACTGGGGCATCTTCAGAAAGTTGATGCAAAATTTCAAGTAAAGCTTTGGCTAAGCTAAAACATTTTGTGGCTATTTTCAAAGCCCATATCCACCTTTACCAAGTTAAAACGTTAAAAAAAAAACCCTACAGTGCTAGAAATGCAGTGAAACAAATACACAGTGGTAGAGAGACTATTTTTATCCTTTAAAGTTATTTAAAAATGTTTTGTTCTTTGGAAAACTTTAAAAAGGGACACAATGAAAGCAGTGTTAATTATTATAAGCTGATCTGAAATCAGCCACGAACTCACCAGCATGCAAGGGGAACATTATATAAACACAATTATTTTGAAAGTCATCTTCATGATTTGAAAAATCATAAAATACAAATTGTAGTTTTAAAATAAATTGGTGGGCTCTGCTTCTATTGCTCAGTAATTCTCACATGGGGGTCTTTGCAAATCCCAGCACATGAAAATATTTTCCTTTGTCAACAACATTGGGAAGGCTGGAGGAAGGACCAGCAGAGGCCCACAAAGAATAGAAAAAAGGCAAAATGTCAATTCAAAGAACAACATGGGGATAACTTCCTGTTTATGGTATTTAAATATAAAATGAATTGGCAAGCTCTTCTAATAAATAACCACAATCACATTTTTGTTCTTTGAAAGCAGCATCTTATACATAATTTTCGATGTAATGTAAAAGAGCCACTTGTGTTAATCATTAAAAAGGAAAACTTACAATGTGGCATAAAACATGGAAATCAAGGAAATTAAAATTCATTAGGCTGGGTGCTGTGACTCACACCTGTGATCCAAGCACTTTAGGAGGCCGAGGCAAGTGGATCACTTGAGGTCAGGAGTTTGAGACCAGCCTGGCCAACATGGTGAAGCCTCGTCTCTACAAAAAATACAAAAATTAGTCCAGCGTGGTGGCGTGTGCCTGTAGTCCAGCTACTCAGGAGGCTGAGGCAAGAGAATCGCTTGAACTCAGGAGGTAGGTTTCAGTGAGCCAAGATTGTGCCACTGCACTCCAGCCTGGACAGCAGAGTGAGACTGTCAAAAAAAAAAAAAACAAAAAAAAGAGTGTGCCACTGAAATAAAATGGTAGAAGCGATGTGATCAGATTGCATTCAGTAAATACTTACTAAACACCGACAATGCATTAGGCACTGTTACAGGCATGAGGATGCAGCAATGACCAAGATAAAGGAGGTCTCTACTCTCAGAATTTACATTCTTTTTGTGAAGACTGATAAGACAGTAGTCAATATAATCTCATTTTGCAAGAGGTGCTACAAAGAAAAGAAAATAGGATAATTTCAGAGAGTAACTGGGTGGTGGGAATGAAGACATCTGGAGAAGCTGCTCTGAATTGAGTTTGGGTTGAAACCCTAAACAGCCAGCAATACAAGGACCTGGGGAAGGAGTTTCCTGGGCAAAGCTAGAATAAAGGCCCTAGGCAGGAACAGGCCCATGTGCTGAAGGAATACAAAGGCTGGCAGGGCTGGAGTGCAGCGGGGATGGAGGGGTGGGCAACTGTGGTGGTTCAAGATGAGGTCAGTGAGGTCGGTGAGGCTACGTCATGTAAACCTTTTTCAACAGGAAGCCACTGAAGGGGTTTAAATAAGGAAGCAGCATGATCTGACTGACATTTAAAAAACATCTCTGGCTGCTGTGTGGAGAAAAAAATTCCAGAGGGAATAAGGAAGAGGCCGGGGACTAGAGAGGAAACTCTTAAAACACGAGGCAACAGATGAATGGATGTAGAGAGGTGAAAGGAGGCAGGCCGTGTTCAGCGGCAGTGCTGACCAGCAGGACTTGCGTGCATCAGATGATGGGAATGAAGGGCAATGAGAGAATCCAAGAGGATTCTCACCAGAGTTTTTGGTTTGAAGTGGAAGGATGGGATGATGGTGGCATTTATGAAATGGGGAAGACCAAGGAGCAAGTTGGGAATAAATTGCAATCAAGTGCTCTAGTTGGGACATGGTTCGTCTGACACGCCTGTGAGACGTGTGAGGGCGCACAATACAAAGCTGAGACGCCAATCTGAAGGTCAGGGCTGGAGCTATATATCTGCACCGTTTGCTTTAACATGGCAGGGACTGGATGAAAGAGCCAAGGGGCTGAGGACGGATGGAGGACAGAAGAGTCTAAGTAGGAGCTACTGGACACTGATGTTTAGAGGCTGGCCAGGGCAGGGGCTAGCACAGGAGACAGGGAAAATGGCTCGTGAGGTGGAAGGTATCTGGGAAGCCACAGACAGTGTTTCGGTGGGGGGCTCCATTGTGCCAAATGTTGCTGGGAGGGCAAGTAACAGAGGATAAAGTAAGATCTGGCAACAAGGAGGGCACTGGCAACCTTAGTAACAGTTCCAGTGCGGCAGTGGGGCAAGGAGCTGGACTGAGAGAGGAAGGGAGAAGAAGTGGAGATAGTGACCACAGACACTCTTTTGGGAAGTTTTTTTGTGTAAAGGGGAGCAGACAAATGGGCTGGTGGCTGGAGGAGGCTAAGAAGTCTCTAGAGAGAACTTTAACAGGTGGGAGAAACTAGAGCATGTCTGTACACCCTGCAGCAGAGAAGAAACACATGACAATCACCTAAATGGCAGGGGTGGGCCTCTGGCAGCAGCATGGACCTTTCATCCCTGCTAACAGTAAGAAAGGCAGTGTGTGTGGTAAGTCCAGAGAAGGTGAAGGCCACAGTGCCCTGGCAGAAGTGTGGAGAAAGAGCTGCAGAGAGGCAAAGCAGGGGGCAGGGAGAACAGAGAGCTGTCAGAATCATCTTGGAACAAGACGGTGCCCTCAACTATAGTGGTTGTGGGGGTCGAGGAGAAGCAAGGTCTGGTGACTGATTAGATGTGGCCAGGAATGGCCACCTGGCTTTTCTCTCTGGGCAGCTTTGTGGGTGATGCTACTATTCATGGGGAGAATGAATCAGGAGTAGGTTGCAGTTGGGGACAAATGACAGTTCATTGAGGAACACATGTGATGCCTGCAGGACATCCAAGCACCTGGGTCCAGTCATGTGGGCCCATGGACCTGGGCTCAGGGTGTAAATGAAGACATCAGTGGCTGGAACGTGTTAAGGAGGAAAGATTGGGGATTAAAAAAAATTATAATAACCTTAAGCATAACTGTGCATAATAAAGTAGCAGCATTTCACAAATAAATGGGACAGTTGGAAGTTACAGATAAGAGCCAAACAGGAATCAAGAAAACTCATAAAAAGAAGAAAGAACTGTGAAAGCCTAGAATCTGTCAGTACAAGAAGCAAACAATAAATGATTGATCTGAGTCATCAAGAAAAAGTTAAATGGTAAGCAATTTACATAGTGGAAAAATACACAGCACATTAGAAAAAGGATTTCTTCTTAAAATTGTTAGAAACATTTCAGGTAGAAAAATCCATTTGAGAGAACATCATTTTCTGCTATTCTGGTAAGTGAATACTTACAAACTGTACATATCAACTAAATACAACACTGTTCCACAGTTTTAGGTATTTATAAGTGACTAATCAATCGTAGGCAGCTTTTTAAAACTGAGCTTAAGGGGAAAGCAAATGCTATGTCTTCAGTCCACAATGCTTTATTTTAGAGAGATCTGCTCATGTGTGCCCAATTTTCTAAGATCAGTCTAAGAAATAAGGACAAAGAAAAAGAAAATCCAAGTGAAATCAAGGCTACCTTCCTCCTGTGGGATGCGGCTGGGAACGTTATCGAGATGACAAAGTCTGATCTGTGTCAGACCTCCAAACGAAAAAGCTTTTATGGCAGAGCTGATTTGTCCCAGTCCTTGTCACAAATTCCCACTTTATAAAATGCTTGGGGCCCTATTTTACTTATACAAGGAAACTGGTGAGTTCTGAAAGAGATATTTTGGAAATATGCCAAAATAGCTGATTCCCCTGCTTGGCTTTTTAAAAAAGTACATTGGTCATTATCGTCCATTTTAAAGTGAGCAGGTCCCTGTGATTCGTGTTCTCTGTCACCAAATTGCTTGTCCACATTTACATCAAGTGCCTCTCCCCTATTACAGCTGCGATGGAATGGGGAATAAGGGATAGAGAGATGTTCCTGTCACCTCTGACTTGAACTTCCTCACTAATGCTCAGTGCTACTTCCAATTCATTTAAAAATGATTCCGGGAAAATATTACCCAGTCCTCAAGCTGTTTGAAGGCCCAAGAGGGTGACAGGTGGAACTACCTCTGCAGGATCATGATGACTGCTCTGGGAGTTCCACTGAGCACTGTGAAGAAGTGGAAGCGAGGCCGAGTATGCTGACGTGTATCAGAATAAGAAACTGAGGCTTGCTTCCTGGGGACAGAAGCTGGTAGACACCTCCAGAAGCACTGAAATTAGATTAGGCAAGGAGGCAGAGGGAAAGGTATCAGCTGATTCTCAGACTTCCCCTGCAGATCCCTCAAAAGTGGCTGCCATTAAAACAACCGGCCAGGAGACTCAGGTCTATTTTTAATCTTTGATCTAAGTCAATGAAAGTATATAGCACTGAAAGTCTATTTCCCGCCTTAGAGATTGTCAAAGTTCAACATTTCTAAGCTTTTTCACAGTTTTACCATTTACATATGGGGTTCTAACAGTCACTCTACCATGCTGCTTCATTTGAGATGAATAGGTAAAAATAATGCAGGAATAAATGTACTAATAAGAGAAACACCAGACTACCAGTGAAACTTAAATCAGCAAAGAGCCAAAAGAAATTTGATTGTAATTATTAGGTAAGGCCCTCGAGCTGGTCATGAGGTTACTAAGAAGTGAGCTTAAATATTATCATAAAAATTATACCTAGTAGCAGCTATAAAAAAAAAAAAACTGAAGAAAATAAATTTTATTAGAGTACATCCAATACTGTCCTAGAAAAAAGACACAATATTACTTCCCTTAAAGATTCTCTCTTATCATAGGAAAGTATAATATCCACGTATAGAGACATATTTAAAATATATCTGTTTTATTCATGTTTTACTTTTTGTTTTTTAAAGAAAATGAGGTCTGGGCTCTTGAGAAAGCAGCAACATCTATTAGCAAAAGAGGAGGCAAGACAGGGCCCAGGAAAGGTGCGCAAGACTCCAATCACAAATCACTTCCCTGAAAGTCCTTCCAGCAGCAGGGGCTCAGGAGAGATACAGGAAGAAAAAGAGTTGGGGGTGAGGGTGGATTATTTTCTGTCAATCAGATTGGCAAAAATTTCAGAGTAACAGAAGCCACTCAGGGCAAGGATGCCAGGAAACTTTTATGTATTTTTGACATCTTCTAAATTGTATAAACTTTTCTAGAGGGCTAGTTAGCAACAAATATCAAAAACATTTATAAAATGCACTTTGACTCAACAAACAATAGCATCTCTTGTACAATAAGATGTATGCCTACAGGTTCCCTATGGTATTTAATAGCGAAAAATTACAATCTAAATGCCATTGGCAGGAGACTGATTAAATAGACTGTAATGTACAATAGGGTTCCATGCAGTGATTAAAAGTGATGGAGATTTATATACTCTGCTGTGCAAAGATGTTCCTGGGACTGTTCAGTGAGAAAAGATTCCAGAGTAGCAGGCAGCAAAACAGCATTTCTCTACAATTCTATGAATATCCTACACAAGATGATCCAAAAAGATGTTTCGACTGTAATTATGATTACAACTTAGTCAGATTTCTGGTGATTTTTGCTTCTCTTTTTGTACTTTTTACACTGATTTTTTTTAAATGAGTACATATCTTTACAAAAAATACCCGACTGTCTTTTTTAAAATTTTGAGTAAAAAAGTCCTCTCTCTCTCTCTCTCTCTCTCTCTCTCTCTCTCTATATATATATATATATATATATATATATAGGCAAATACCGTTTTTTGTTTTTTGGTTTTTTTTGGGACAGGTCTCTCTCTGTCACCCAGGCTGGAATGCAGTGGTGTAATCTTGTCTTGCTACACTCTCGACCTCCTAGCCAGGCTCAGGTACTCCTCCCACAGCTCAGCCTCCTAAGTAGTTGGGACTACGGGCATGTGCCACCATGCCCAGCTAATTAAAAAAATTTTTTTGTAGAGGCAGGGTCTCACTGTGTTGCCTAGGCTGGTCTTAAGCTCCCAGACTCAAGCAATCCTCCTGTCTCAGCCTCCCAAAGTGCTGAGATTGCAAGCATGAGCCACCATGCCCAGACTAACGTAAATACTTCTTATCCCATGCTAAAGGGGTAAAAAGCAAATCAAAAACTCCCTTCATTTATACATTAATTTTAAAATTTAAATCTCTGACAATTTAAAGTATTTCACAATAACTAGGAACATTTTCATTTATGGTTTTTATTACAATTGAGATTTCAGCTCCTATGAGAACCGCTATAAATTATCTATAAATTCCTACTATACAAGGCATCATGAATACATTCTCTAGAAGCCACAGTAAAGGTTAGCAATGGCGATTCTACCAGTCCTTTGAGATAACCACCTCCTCACAAATGCACAGCACAGGTCCACAGACATAGCACATACACCCTTGATAAAGTTCTACTCATACAAACTAGGAATTATTTAGATATCTAATGTTTCCCCTTTTAAGGGGAGGAAAAAAGTCAAAGTAGTCTAGCTATAAATAACCTACCTCTTTTTTAAAATTTTACTGAATTTTTATTTTATTTCTTTTTCCTAAACCTCTTAAGAATACTTCAAGTATCAATACCTACTACAAATAATAAAAGGTAAAAATGTTTTAAAGTCACTGCTCTTGAGTTACATGTAAATAATTGTATGTAAACAGCAAGGTTTCTTTTCCTTCTTTGATAGGGAATTACCAGTTAGTAGAAGAATTCTTTAGATAATTTACCTCAACTATTCTACAAACTTAAACTGTCTGTCTGATAAAACAACCTAATCATAGTGCCCCATGTGCACTCGCCTGGCCTCATCACAGTGCCCCATGTGCACTCGCCTGGCCTCATCACAGTGCCCCATGTGCACTCGCCTGGCCTCATCACAGTGCCCCATGTGCACTCGCCTGGCCTCATCACAGTGCCCCATGTGCACTCGCCTGGCCTCATCACAGTGCCCCATGTGCACTCGCCTGGCCTCATCACAGTGCCCCATGTGCACTTGCCTGGCCTCATCTAGTGCCCCATGTGCACTCGCCTGGCCTCATCTAGTGCCCCAGCGTGCACTCGCCTGGCCTCATCTAGTGCCCCAAGTACACTCGCCTGGCCTCATCATAGTGCCCCAGCGTGCACTCGCCTGGCCTCATCTAGTGCCCCAGCATGCACTCACCTGGCCTCATCATAGTGCCCCAGCGTGCACTCGCCTGGCCTCATCTAGTGCCCCAGCGTGCACTCACCTGGCCTCATCATAGTGCCCCAGCGTGCATTCCCAGGATCATGTACACAGCTGATTTAGGAGACTATAAACCCAAAGGAAATGTTCATTTTTTTCCACAATTAAGTTATTGCGATAAGATTAGTGCTATTTTAATCATAATCAAATGATAAAATGCCATAATTGAAAGTAATCGATGAACACAAACTGAATGGTCAAGGAGTGTTTGCTGGCCAGGCTGCGCAGGGGAGCAGGGTAGATATTGAACTGGCACTGATTTCTCCTCCTTGCCAATGGTGGGCAAACTTACCTGCTTTGGTCTGCTAACAAGACATCTTCCCCTACCTCTCCTTCTTTGGAACCTCTGATTAAATGACATGCCATTGTGCAAAATACACATGTGTGTTTATATTTAACGTTATTATATGTGTTCTATGTGAAATGAAATTCCAGAATAATTATGAATAAACAAACAGCAAAATCAAAATACTTTTAAGGAACTAAGTTTTACTTTAAGCATTTTAAACATGTTCCCTTTTAGGCCAGCAGATGTAGCTGTGAATTAAAATAGAATGTACCAGCACTTCCATCAAGCTGCTCTAGCTTAGCCATTAGATGGCACCCTTTTGTGCTGGAACTGGGTTTCTATCAGAGATTTAATACAGTTCAAGCTAGCTACTTAGAATTGACACTGGAGTATTTTGATTTACCTGCATTTATCTGGAGCGTCATCAATTATTGATTGAGTGTGTAGATTTGGACCATTTCTGTTCAATATTTTCTGACTGAGACTGTTTTCTTCGTCATAAAAAGATGAGACAGTGCACAGTGACAAAAGTTCTTACTGGACTCAGGGTAACCTCATAATTATCATCAATACTCTCTAAACGCAGAGTTGAATATATCACATAGCTGTCTGCAAGCCTCAGCACAGGGTCATCCATAAGAATTTGCTTAGAAAGTCAACAGGTAAGGCTTTTCCCACTCTACTCGGTAGCCCTGTCTTAGCACGGTGCATGGCTCAGAGGAGGCCCACAAATGACGTTAGAATGAACAAACCAGCAAATTAATAAACACTCCTGCCTTTAAAAGATGTGTCCTTGAAAAGCTATCAGTGGGTTCATTATTCTGTGGGCCTTCTCAGACATGGAGATCAAACTGATATGCCTAATGATCTATATGTAGGGAGACAGTGTGCATGCAGTCTCTCTTTTTAGCTAGACATAAACATGCAACATAAAAGGATTCCACATATTCTTATATTCAGTAGTGAAAACCAGAAAATATTTTCTTCTCACCAAAATATCTTATTTAGGCTGCAATCCTCGTATTAGTGCCATAAAACAAAGAAGTTCATATTCTACCCATCTTCAATGCTAGGCAAATGTCCCTGCTTTGTTTGCTAACAAGATAGCTTCCAATACCTCTCCTTCTTTGGAACTTCTGATTAAATGATAAACCACCTGGCAATCATTTGAAATGCAAATGTATGTTTATATTTAATATATGTGTTCTATGTGAAATGAAATTCCATAATAAATATGAATAAACAATTGGATTATTCTAGCACAGTCTAGTCCATAAACACCAAATTATCAAGTGTATAATTTAGATAACCTAAATTATAGATAAACCTAGATTGGTTTATGAAAATCGGGATTGACTCTTCTAAATCAGACTATTTGTATTTTCAAATACCTTAAAATTTGACTACGAAGTTTGTGAGCCACATTACTAAGCACTGAAAATTTTATGTATCAATTCCACACAGTTCATGCAAAGTGCTAGCAAACTGTCATTTTTATAGAAAGTAGAAGCTCAATAACTTTATTTCTAAGTACTACTTAATAATCTGAAGATTCAGACCTGGGTTTACATCTTGACACGGCCAATCACAAGCTATGTGGTCTTGGGCAAGTGATTTAACTTCTTTGAGCCCCAATTTCCTCATTTATAAAATGGGGATATTAATATCTGCTATATAGTTATTATGAAGATTAAATAATCTGCTATGTCTAAAATGTCTGTACAGTGACTGAAATGGAAGAAGAGATTTTATATTGGTCAAAAGCAAAATTGAAGTTAACAGCAAAAATCATGAAAAAAGTTTTCAGTCACAGATTTTCTGTCTTTTCAAGAAATCTCTAATTCAGGATTACAATGACTAGACAGCAAAGTTAACTCAAAAATAAAGGTTAGGGCCAGGTGCGGTGGCTCACAAGTTTAATCGTAGCACTTTGGGAGGCTGAGGCAGAAGATTGCTTGAGTCCAGGAAAAAATAAAAAAAAAATTGGCCAGACATAGTGGCATGCACCTGTGATCCCAGCTACTCGGGAGGCTGAAGTGGGAGGGCGGCTTGAGCCCAGGAGGCTGCAGTGAGCTGAGATTGCGCCACTGTACTCTATCCTGGGCAACAGAGGAAGTTCTCTGCCTCCAAAGAATAAAATATAAAAATAAATTTTAAAAACAAAGGTGAGACTAGGAGAAAAGCACCCGTATGGGTCTATCCATGTATTCTGAGTGAAAAGCACAGTAATGTGTTTGTTTACAATTAAACAAAATATGAAAAGCTCAATAATGCGTATGAGGTTGTTCCTGCAACCTCCCCAACTTGCCCTTTCTTCCTCCCTGCTGAATCATTCCCATCAGCATATATATGCTGCTAATTCTCCAATTTAAAATACAACAAGTAAAAAACCATCTCTTGATCCCTTTCTTTTTTCCAGCTATGACCCCATTTCCTTCCTTCACTTTGTGGCAGAACTCAAGATTCACCCAGACACTGTGCCTCTGATTCTCCTCTATTCTCTACTCAAGATTCACCCAGACACTGTGCCTCTGATTCTCCTCTATTCTCTACTCAAGATTCACCCAGACACTGTGCCTCTGATTCTCCTCTATTCTCTACTCAAGATTCACCCAGACACTGTGCCTCTGATTCTCCTCTATTCTCTTTTGAATCTCTCAGGCTTTACTCCACCATTTCACCAATGGCTGTCACACTGCCAGAGCCAGTGAATTCTCAGTTTTCCTCTTACGTAACTTATTATCAGCATAAAGCACAGTCACTTCTTGAAATGTTTTCTTTATCTGTTGTCTATGTCACCAAGCCAAGGAGATTTCCCTCTTCAAGGGTACTTTCCCCTAATTCCCCAACCTCTAACCAAGAGTTCCTTCCTCAGACCTCTTCTTTTGTTCAACCTTCACTGCCTTGGTGAGTTAATCTAGTCTTATGGCTTTAAATGCTGTGCATATACCAATGAGTCTCAAATTTACATCTTACCTTGTGCTTCTCCCCTAACTCTCAGCTTCTGTATCTAACTGCTTACTGCTCTCCATCTCACTATCAAACAGATGTGTCAACCTCACAAGTCGCAGATCGAGCTCCTGACGTTATCCCCCAATGCCTGTTCCTCACAGTGCTCCCCACACATCCTCCAGTTGCTCAGGCCAAAAGTCTTGATGACATCCTAATTTCACTCTTTCTCACATTCCACATCTAATCGACAACAAATCTTTGCTGACTTGACCTTCAAAATACATCCAGAATTTCTTTTCATCAACTTTACCACCGCCCCCTATCTCAAACAACTGCCAATTCTCACCGGTCATGAAGGGCCCAGTCCTTGCAACCAGTTGTTTAAAAAAAAAAAAGAAGGCAGTCATTCTTTATGTAATGCTCTGTACCTTGAGGCATAAATTTTACATATATACACAACAGACACACTACACACACACACAAGCTTTTAGGATTTTTTTCCAAAAATGTATAAATAACACATTAATAATTTAAATAATTATTTTTAAAATGTTTTAACTTTTTTACTAAGATTTTATATATATGATGTCAAACAGCATAGAAAGTTGTTCCAAATTAATAATTCTATTAAACAAACAGCTAACGTCGATTTATTTATTTATTTATTTGAGACAGGGTCTCACTCCATCGCCAAGGCTGAAGTGCAGTGATCTTGGCTCACTGTTGTCTCAGCCTGCGAGGCTCAGGTGATCCTCTTGCCTCAGCCTCCTGAGTAGCTGGGACTACATGTGTATTCCACCACACCCAGCTACTTTTTTTTTTGTAGAGACAGGGTTTCATCGCGTTGCTCAGGCTGGTCTTGGACTCCGGAGCTCAACTGATTTGCCTGCCACAGGCTCCTCAGTGGGTTACTATAGGCATAACCCACTGCACCTGCCCTAATGGCAATTCATACAGGACATTAGCCATAAATCAGTGATTCATTATATTTGAAGTTTTACCACCTTCAAAAATTTAGCTGGCTGATTAATTAGTAATAAGAAGTTGTCCAGTTATTTGTAAGAATTTAGTCACATACTCTGTCATCATTTCCCAAGACAGTGGCCAAACTACATGCAACTTTGAAAACCAGGAAAATTTAGAACACAGAAAGCAGAACAAACATCTAGATACCAGTGACAAGACTGTAGTTACTCACATTGTGAACTCCTAAAGCTTTCCAGACTGCGAAGCTAATTACACCAACCCCACACCAAGCATACAGTGAGCCCCAGCCCAGAGCTCGTAAGGCAAGGGAAGACCCGCTCTCCGGTAATGCAGCCGTGGCCATACTTCCCTGAAATGAGACAGAAAGGTTCAGGTAAAAACAATCAGTGCAGAAAGAATAAGCATTCTGGGAGTGTCTGCAAAGTTCTCTGTGCAAGCAACATGATATTGGGAAGCTAGATCAACCCAAGGTCAAATTCTAGCTTTACTACTTAATAACTGCCTGCTTTCAGACTCACAAATATTTGATTATGCAAGACACTGCCTGTTAATTCTTCCAGAAAAATCCTAGACCATTTTGTCAAGATTTCTCTATCCCCCATCCATTGGCATTTTCACAGAATGACATTAATCCTAATCTGATAAGAGACAGCAAATTTATAACATACTATCTTCCATCTGGAAATACATTTCCATTTACTAGAGTGCTTTTCTTTTTTTACAATAACTTTCTTTATATTGTTCTAATTTATTTTGAGAGAGTCTCATTCTGTCACCCAGGCTAGAGTGCAGTGGCATGATCACGGCTCATTGTAGCATCAAACTCCCAGGCTCCAGCAACCACCGTCCCCCCACCTCAGCCTCTCAAGTTGCTAGGACTAAAGGTGTGCACCACCACATCTGGCTAATTTTTTTTTCCTGTACCGACTCCTGGCCTGAAGCAATTCTCCCACTTCAGCCTGATATGAGTTATTATTAGCTATTGCCTATATCCAAAATGAATTTTAGTGGAAACTTGATTGTTAAACATTATCTGTCATTAAGTTTTATTCTAAATTATTTTAGTTTTTTTTTAAGTTCCATTAAGTTTTAAAACATCTAGTCACAAGCTTTATTCTCTGAGGAAGAATGCCACATGACATTCAGATACCACGTTCAAAATTTTCAAAATGAACACTGGCTGACTTGCTGCAGGAAAAGACTGACTTGCCAAAAAAATAACATTGTTTTAAAAGATCTTTAGACATAGACACACATGCTAGCATATATGTATATATGGCTACACTACTCCTCACTGACCCATCGTTTTTCTTAATTTAAATTAAAATTAAGGCATCTGTATATGGAAATTGAAATTAACAAATCACATTGCAATTAGGGTATATAGAATCCTGAAGATGAAACAGAAAAATTATTTTCTAAATGAGAACTCTGTATTTATAATACCTCTTGGGCCTGAAGATACAGGTGCCCTTTATCTTCTACCACTTACCAGAACCCTTGAAAAAGCAGGTGACAAAATTAATTTAAGTGTTCAGTTTGTCAGAGATCAACTATATACTTACAAATATGGTTCGCAGTTTTAGCTTTTCTTCAGTTTAATCCTGAGATGAATTTTATTTAAATCAAGTGAATTTTATGTTTTTGGTTTTTTTGAGACGGAGCTTTGCTCTTGTTGCCCAGGCTGGAGAGCAATGGGACAATCCTGGCTCACCGCAACCTCTGCCTCCCAGGTTCAAGCATTTCTCCTGCCTCAGCCTCCCAACTAGCTGGGATTATAGGCATGCACCACCATACATGGCTAATTTTAGATTTTTAGTATAGACAGGGTTTCTCCATGTTGCTCAGGCTGGTCTTGAACTCCTGACCTCCGGTGATCTGCCTGCCTTGGCCTCCCAAAGTGCTGGGATCACAGGCATGAGCCACCATGCCTGGCAATCAAATGATTTTTAAAATGAATGTTCAATCTAATTATTTCCCCTAAAGAGAACGCTCCTATCTGATATAATATATTGATATATTTGCATCACAGAAATAACTGGCTGTGTTTTCATAACATGTGCAATATATATGTTTAAATATTTATTTTTATAACTTCCCAGGTGGCAACTGTGAAGTGCACTGCCTAAGTGAGATTCGTAAACTGGTGCTTGCTCAGTATAAATGCATTAACTGTGTGCTCCAAAGTCTCTGAGTGCTTCTACAAACCATTTTACCTCTGAAACAAAGTCTGGGTAAGTGATAATACTCTAATTCCAATGTTTTCCCAGAGGGAGACCAAAGCATCTAAAACAGTGGTTCTCAAACTTCCTGGTCTCAGGATCCCTTTATATTTGGGCCCTAAAGACTTTCAGTTAGGTGGGTTGTATTTATCAACATTTAATGTATTCAAAATTAAGAAATTCTTAACTTGTATTAGTCATTTACAAATAGTAAATCATTCTAGGCTAATATAAACCTATTTTTTTTTTATGAAAAATCACTTTTCCAAAACAAAATTGTGCAAAGAGAGACAATGTTTTACATTTTTGTTACTCTTTATTTTCATTTTTCATTTTTTCTATTTTTTGAGATGGAGTCTCACTCCATCTCCCAGGCTGGAGTGAAGAGGCATGATCTCAGCTCACTGAAAAACTTCCACGTCCCAGGTTCAGGCAATTCTCATGCCTCAGCTTCCCAAGTAGCTGGGATTACAGGCGGATGCCACCATACCCAGCTAATTTCTGTATTATTAGTACAGATGGGGTTTCACCATGTTGCCCAGGCTGGTCTCAAACTCCTGCTTAAAGTGATCTGCCCACCTCAGCCTCCCAAAGTGCTGGGATGACAGGCATGAGCCATCAAACCTGGCCTGTTACTCTTTTAGATATCTAGCTTAACAAAAGATAGATGAATCTTCACATCTGCTTTTATATTCAATCTGTTGCAAGATATTATCTTTGGTGAAAATAAATGAATAAAACCTGGCGTCACACAGATATATGGTCACGTCTTTGGAAAATGGAATAATATCGTAATAGCTTTCCTTCTCTGATAATACACCAAAACAAATAATAAAGATTAGTTGCAACGTGCAACATGAAGTCATAACAATAATTTTTTTTGTAATTTATTACATTAAAATCCATTAGTCTATTTTGCACTTTGAATGGACTTTTATTCCATGTATCATGCTCATTCAGAAGATACTGGTCATACAGGTCTTTCAAGTTATACAGATTTTCAATTGTTGACACTATTTATTAAAACCGTATTTAACATTAAAAAAACAAACAAAAAAACGGTATTTTAAAAAACATCGTTAATGTCATAAAATCTCACTGGAAAAAACCATTAAATATTGAGCAACCATGAAGCTCAGAATGGCAGATAAAAGTTTTCTAAAATCTAATTTTCACTTGAAAGTCTGATTTTTATCAGGGGCAATAAATACTGACAATCGCTTGCTTGAAAAGACAGACTTTTTGTTCATTATCAAAATGTCCGCCAAATACCCACTTCTGAATAACCATGGTTCGTCAGTTGTTCTTTCAAGTAAAAATGATATTGTGTAAGAAAAAAGGGGTAATTTAGCTTGCAATTCAGTTGCTTTCCTAGAGAAAAACATCTTACTTCAGTATAAAATAGAAATGCTCTATATATTTCCCTTTACATAGTATATTAAAAAGAGGTTTAATTGAGAGTCATGTTTTCATAAAATTATTTTATTTCTCCAACGAGGACATTCTTCAGTAATGCTGGCTTTTAAAAATACAGGTGCTCTGTAATGGAGAGCATAATGACTTCCAGCAGTTTGGAGCTACTGCCTTGGTTATACCAAGGTATCAGCAGTTTTACTCCCCATGGCCTCTGTACCATTAGCGCAAGCATCTTAGTATCATTACGAAAACAGTTTTGACTTCATGGACCCAAGGATCAACACAGGGTTCTGTGGACCACAGTTTGAAAACCACTGTTAGACCGTGAAGGCCATCTGTGATGATCAAATATCAGAACAATAAAATAGGATGGAAAGTTGTTAATATGTGTATGTGCTCCCCCAGCCCCTGAGAATCCCTAGTTTTCATCAGATTATTAAAAAGGATCAGTGAGCCAAGGATACATAACTTAGGTTTAGAAATCAACCAAAACTCTACTATTAAAGCACTACTCTGATTTCTGCCACAAAATATTATTTCTGCTCTGAAAAACATTCTATAACACAGAGAAAATGATCCACAAGGTCCATTGTGATTTAGGAGTGATTTAGGAAGCTCCAACTAAGCTTAGACCATTCAGAGGGGATCCAAACACACTTTAAAGGCGGTCTCTCGCCATTATGGTATCAATAAGGCTTATGTATGATTATTAAAGATAAATGTAAGTGGAAAGGAAGCTTAACCATTTTATGTTTTACATAACACTTTCCTCCACAGCACACATCAAATTGAAATTACAGTTATTTGTGTGAATATTTATTTTTGAGACAGAGTCTTGCTCTGTCGCCCAGGCTGAAGTACAGTGGTGCGATCTGGGCTCACTACAACCTCAGCCTCCTAGGTTCAGGTGATTCTACTGACTCAGCCTCCCAAGTAGCTGGGACTACAGGAGTGTGCCACCATGCTCGGCTACCTGGCTATTTTTGTATTTTTAGTAGAGATGGGTTTTCGCATTGTTGGCCAGGCTGGTCTCAAATTCCTGATCTCAGGTGATCCGCTTGGCCTCCTAAAGTGTTGGGATTACAGGCGTCAGCCAGACACCTGGCCCAGATTTAGATTTAAAGTCATGTTGTGAATAGGAAATGTACCAGATAAGCTTTCAGTCTTGTTCTGCTAAAATTTAAGAAAGCACATATTTTTCTAAATGAAAATAAAGACCGTTGGTTAATTTGTATATTTCTAGAATCCATGAGGGTATATAAATTCACATCTTAAAGCAACGTGAAAGGCCATCAATATTTTCCTTATTTTTTTCTATACAAAAGCTGTCATATATTGTAAATAACAGTAACAGTGCTCTGAATGGATTTCAGTGTCACCAACCTTATTGAACCATTCAGGGCTTTTCTTTTTCGTCAATGATAATGTTGTAATAAATCCTGCAAGCATTCCCGCTGCAGCAACAGCACCAAGGAAAATTCCACCTGCCAAGAGTGGGGAGGAGGGGGGATATTTAAAAAATTAAATAAAAAGAGGTTAAAAAGATGTACAAAAGTAAGTTTAAGACGCTATTCGAGTGACAATCAAAATCACTTTTTGAAATTCAAGAAACCATGGCTAAGCAGCTCTTGCTAACAGTTAGTAAATGACAGTGGCTGAGAAACCCGTGTGACCTCACGACCTCTGGTTCCTGGGGTCATTCTGAGTTATTATTCCCGAGCGCAGAGAACAGGTTCAGGTTCCCTTCGCCTCTCCCCAGGGGACCACGGTGTGAAGTTTCTCACAGGTAGGAAAAGAGTGGCAATCAGAAAAGGCAAGGCTCGAGAACAACTGTAGAGGTGAAGGGGAAATATGGCACGCCAGGGATAGTAATAGCTCGCGGGATCTGCCCCCTGCCCCGCCCAAGGGGAGACTCCACCCAGCAAGCGATTTACCCGTCCCGGGCGGCCTGACTCCGCGGGCTAAACTCAGGTGCAAGCCCAAGCTAAGGGCACTCACAGCGGGATGGGTGTGGGAATGCCCGCTCCAGCGCAAGCCAGGGCCCGGGGTTAGCTCGTCCCGACGCCTGCACCTCACCTCGCCACAGCACACCTTACCTTTAACCAGGAAAAGCCGGTCATCCGTGGACCCCGGAGCCTCCAGCCGAGAAACCGGCTGCCCAGTCGCAGAGCCCGCTGTCTCCATATTTAGGTCGCCTCTATAGCGTCCGGCCCCAACTGGGTCCGGGTGGAAGCGAGAGCGAGACGGAAGAGAAAGGTTCCGCGCCGCCTCCTCCAGTGCAACCTGAAGAAGAGTCCGGAGTGAGGCCGCTGTCCCCAAACCCTCCTCCCCCGCCGGGGCGGGGAAGACGTGGTGTGCCCAGCGCCGTGGGGGCTGCCCTCCAAGGCTGTCTCCCAGGGAGGATCACTTGCTTTCTCCAAGGTGGTCATTGCTGGACTTAAGTGATCACTATGTTTGAAAGAACGCTCAGCCCCGACTGTGGGAGGCAGTGAGGGTCGCAGATTGCGCCAGGATTCCAGGCCCCGCCTGCTGTGAGACCTGGAGCTCATTTTCCCGACCAAGCTTACATTACGTCCAACGATTTGGCCAACGCTAACATTCCACGATTCTAAAACGCAGGCCTCAGTCTTCTGTCTACTTTTCTGGGAAACTTCCCAACAGTGGTGAGGAATAAGTGACAGGGTTTCTCCCTGGAGGAGAGCCAGCCGCCTGGCTCTTTGGCGAAGGCCCCCGTCGCCCCGATGAGATTGCTCAGCCTCCCTCGGGAAGTGGAATACTCACCGGATGACCGAATGAAGCTACACCCCCGCGAGGAGAGCGAGGCCCGCTGGAAGGGCTTGCAGAGTTGCCGGGAACGTTGATCGCTAGCAGGCCTGGTCTTCAGTCTGATTTGCCCATTCTGTAAATGGCCATGGAGAGGAGGAGGCTCGTGGCCATGGAAAACCTTTACAGCCTCATCTTTTAAAATAAGGCGATCTCTCTGCTATTTGTCCCGCCCCCCGTCCCTGGAGGGCATGAGCTTCCTAAGGATGGAGATGGGACTCTGCTCAGTTTATATCCCCCAGCTTTCAGGTATTACCTGCCTACGAACAACAAAGGCATGCTGGATGAATGAGTAAATGAATGCATCTGTTTTTGCATCAGTGAAGTGCAGTTAATAGCTCAAACCTGGCTCAGGGCCTAAACCGCTTCTCAGGTTTGTGAACTTGGGGTTAGCCCCTCTGTATCTCAGTTTCCTCATGTGTAAAATTTAAAAACTCATAGTAGGCCCGTGCGGTGGCTCAGCCTGTAATCCCAGCACTTTGGGAGACTGAGGCAGGCAGATCACCTGAGGTAAGGAATTCAAGACCAGCCTGGCCAACATGGTGAAATTCCATTTCTACTAAAAATACAAAAATTAGTGGGGCCTGGTGGTGCTCGCCTGTAATCCCAGCTACTCCAGAGGCTGAGGCAGGAGAATCGCTTGAACTCGGGAGGCAGCTATTGCAGGGAGCCAAGATCGGGCCTTTGCACTCCAGCTTGGGCAACTAGAGCAAAACTCCATTCCCCGGACCCTGTCCCAAAACTGATAGTACCTATCTCATAGGATTGCTGTGAGAATGAAATGAAGCAACATCTATAAAGAAGTTAGCACAGTGCCTGGCACGCATAAATATTCAATACATGTTAGCTCTAACTATTACCACCTTTGATTCCAGCAACTGTTTTGCAGCATTGCCTATGGGGATTTTTTTAAATGATGGCTGACCAGGGTCTGCCATGGGAGATTACAGCTCTGAAGGCTGGCAGGCGGCAGGGCAGAATCTAAAAGCTCCATGGGGTTTCTGATGATAAAGAACGACTGCTCTGTTCCAATTTTTGTGTGGATGAGATCACACAGAATGTATGTGACCTTTGGATTTCCTGGAAACACAATGTCAGTATCTGAAAGGGCATTTAAGCTGGTAAATGCTGTGCTAATTTGTTGAAGGACCTTTCCTTTTTCCTCCCCCTCACACATAATAGTGACCATAGCTGCTAACATGTATTGAGCGCTTTCTATGTATCTGACATTGCACTAAGTGCTTCAGGTATGTTATCTCACTTACTCCTCTCCAGAAACTCAGAAAGACCGTCTTGCTCAAGCTTGCACAGCTGTTAAGTGGCAGAGACGGGATTTGAAAGCAGGTCCTTCCTTATCCACTGTGCCAGTGATCCTCAAGTGTGAGCTTGAATATTGGGATCACCCGGAAGACTTATTGCACTCAGCTTACTGGGCCCCATTTCCAGAGCCTGTGACTCTGAGAGCATGTATGTCTCAGTTCCCAGGTGATGCTGTTGCCACTGGTTCCACTTTGAGAACGGCTTCTCTGTGCCTTCCTCTCACGATGACACCTCTTAAAATCCATACCGTACATTTCGACACTTGGAAATCTGCTTTCCCAAGACTGCTTAGGGAGAAAAAGTGCAGACTCCTCCACTTCCTTTTTTTGCTATCCCCCTAGAAAAGTACAGAAACTTTTTGTTTTATTTTAAGGTTTAGGCTGGGTGCAGTGGCTCAAACCTGTAATCCCAGCACTTTGGGAGGTTGAGGAGGGCAGATCACTTGAGGTCAGGAGTTTGAGACCATCCTGGCCAACACGGCAAAACCCTGTCTCTACTAAAAACGCAACAATTAGCCGAGTGTGATGGTGGCACCTGTAATTTCAGCTACTCAGGAGGCTGGGGCAGGAGAATCGCTTGAACCCAGGAGGCAGAGGTTGCAGTGAGCCAAACACGCACTGCTGCACTCCAGCCTGGGTGACAGAGCAGATTCTGTCTCAAAATAATAATAATAATAATAATATTTAAAAGTTATATCACTATTTACAGTAAGGAACAGAAGGGAGATCATAGATCTTTAAATCTAGGGAAGTTACAGAGTCCTGCATTCTGAAGCCCAGCTCCGCTGAAAGTAACTGCGCATCCTCGGAGACTGGTGTCTGCTTTGTTCTGAATGTTGCAGCTCACAAACCTCTACTTTCTTTCGAAATCCCCAAAGTAAAAGACAATCTTTCTTTTTTCTACCTGAAAGCTTCTTTTCCAAATATACACAGGGCTGAAAAGGCAACTGACACAAACTAATGGTTTACACTTCAGCCTTAGGCAAGCAATCTGCATATTGAGGCAAGCTCCTTGGTCGAGACCTGTTTGTGGAGAGTATTGCGACCCGATTTCTCACTAGCCCCCAGCACCTACCCTGTGACTTACTCTGTGCCAGGTCCTGGGAGATGGTGTTTCCAGAGCCTTGGAAGCCTGCCATGCACTAGGACGGGAAGTCCCTGGCCCTGAGATAAGACCAAATTTCAGGCATCCCAAGTTGGAATGCTGAAAGAAAACATTTTTAAAAAATAATGTTTCCCAGGCCAGTCAGGGTGGCTCACGCCTGTAATCCCAACACTTTGAGAAGCCAAGGAGGGCAGATCGTGAAGTCAGGAGTTCAAGACCAGCCTGGCCAATATAGTGAAACCCTGTCTCTACGAAAAATACAAAAAATAGGTGGAGTGGCACATGCCTGTAGTCCAAGCTACTTGGGAGGCTGAAGTAGAAGAATCGCTTGAACCCAGGAGGCGGAGGTTACAGTGAGCCAAGATCGCGCCGCCCCCAGCTGGGTGACAGAGTGAGACTCTGTCTCAAAAAAAAAGACAATGTTTCCCAAGGTCTCATATCTCTACAGGACACCCAGTTGGGTACTTTGGATACAACTTGGTTAACTGCACTGCTCTAAGAATTCCACAATCCCACCTAGATCCATTTCTATAGAAAGATATGACACAAGCTCCAAACGGGTGAGCTGCAGACCTTCCACGCACAGTTTCTTTGCAAGATAGGGGCTTGAGTTCTGAAACAGCAGGGCAGCATTTCCAAGCGTGGAAACCAGAGATTAGAAAGTCACAGAGCTTTTGTGCTTCATGCAGCAGCAGCAGGACTGATGTTTCCATGGAAGCACGGTGCTCTTCTAGAAAAATGTAACGGAAATCTCTTTCAAGCAAAGGAGGCTGCTGGGAAAGCAGGTTTATCTGAGACGGATGCTGTTGCTATTTTGGTGTTCGTTTTAGTCAGCCGAAAGTTCATACCAGGGACGCATTTGACCACATTCTTACTTCAAACTTTCTGGCTCCTGTAGATTCTATTTCAAGTTTTGACAGCTAGAAACCTGTTAGCTTTACAGTTCCCAGAATTTAGATAGCCTAAGCTCTAGCTGGTTTCGAACTCGGATAGAGTTTTTCCCCATCACTTTTTAAAACATTTCTTCAGATCTTCAATCTCTCAATGTTTAATGTATGAGGCTGACTTATTTTTAAAATCTGATAAGGGTCAACTCATTCTCACTCCTGCTTGATATAAGATAGTTGTCAAAAGTATAGGCTGGGCGCGGTGACTCATGCCAGTAATCCCAGAACTTTGGAAGGCCGAGGCAGGCGGATCACCTGAGTTCAGGAGTTTGAGACCAGCCTGACCAACATGGCGAAACCCCATCTCTACTAAAAATACAAAAATTAGCCAAGCATGGTTGTGGTGCCTGTAATCCCAGCTACTCAGGAGGCTGAGGCATGAGAATCTCTTGCACCCAGGAGGTATAGGTTGCATTGAGCTGAGATCGTGCCATTGCACTCTAGCCTGGGTGACGGAGTGAGACTCTGTCTAAAAGAAAAAAATGTATATATATATATATGGTGCAGAGATCTTTCAAAGTTATTGCCAGATTAAGTGTGTGCATAGAAAAAATCTGGACTTTATACTAAATTATTAACAGAGGCCACTTTGACAGAAAGGAGGAGGTGAGTGTTCTATCTGTATCTCTTCTGCTTTCTGCCTTAGTAAGTAAAATGCTGACCAAAGCCACATTTTCACATAGTTCTATAATGTTTGCAAAATTTTTAATAAGAGACATGTATTACTTCTGTGAGAAAAAAAGGGAAAAAGGGAAGGAAAACAATAAAATACTTTAAAAATGTATCACCTGTTTAAAAGATGGATTTCTGTTTAAATAGAAATATTATGTAGGTTTCCAGGTTAACTCATCAAACTCTCCAGCAGGATACCCAGTGACAGCGTTCTTGGAGAGCAAGGGTACGAGAGAGCAAGACTCATTATGTCGTAAGGAGAAGCTCTCAGCTGGCCTGAGAGCCCACATGGTATGTGCCCCCTCCAGTTTGCTGCTCTTGGGCCTCTTGAATTCTTCCCAATATCTGCTCTGAATCCCCAGAGCTACAGCTCCTTCGAAATGGCATTAGTATGATCAATACTGTGCACTAGAAATGCTAAGTATGGTAATAATTCCTCTGGAGTGAGCTGAAACTAGCTTGAGTCCAAAGCTTGAGTCTCATTACTCATTTCCGGTATCTCATTACTTATCCTTTAGAATCACATTCTGTAACTGTCTCAGGTTGAATAATATGTCTGTCTTTATCACAGTAAATGAGAGTTGCCATTCTATATCCCTCCATTCCATTTTTTTTATTGTAGAGTATATCTTTCCTATCTATTTCTGTGCTATCAGTTGAATCGTTACTGTTGATGACAGACTAGAAATCTTTTTGAGAGCTGTTATATTTCATAAGCCGCCAGAATTGTTTCACAAAAGATGCATATAATTTCCTTTAACTGTGTTTCTCTATCTTCTTGTGAGGATCAAATAAGATCACAGATGTTCAAGCATTTTGTAAACTGTTGAGTATTCTGGCAATGTAAAGCATTGTTATTTTTAGTCCTGTGTGTGTCCCAGTTATAGAAAAGACTCTTCGCATTCCCCAAAGCCAAACATATTTCCATCTATGCATTATCATTTTGCTAGTATTTAATGTACAAGCACATATGTTACACTCACATTTACTATAAAAATCTGTGATATCAACCACTTGCATCATTGAATGCATATTATATTTATTGTATTTTATTAATCTATTCTATTCTGATATATAAAGACTATAAAATAGAAAATGATTTAAAAA